CCAGGAACCAGGCTACCCAGCGCCTGCTGTGCAGCACAGCACGTGGGGGGATGACTTTTGGGACCCCTCCCTGGCCGCTGCAGAGCAATGTAGGTATAGGGGCCAAGCCCTGCCCGGCCCCCAGGCACTGTAGACAGTTCAGCCCCAGCAGCAGCAGCAGCAGCGGGCTGTTCTGCCTCTTACTCCCCTCTCATTTGGAACTCAACGGTGAGGAACAAGCCCCGAGCAGACAGCGTGGGGCCAGCCCCGGGCACAATCAGCACCAAGCAGGAAGACCTGGGCTCGCCAGAGGCCTGGGCCTTCCTAGTTCAGGCTCTGGGCTTCATTTGCTTTCTTCCTCTGCAATTCTCCTGCCCCGGCAAGTGTTAAAAGACAGACTGCCCCGTGAGACGTGCCCTAAAAGAGCAATCAATTCCAGCGCCAGAAAATCTCAGTGCCACACTTAGAAACCCTTCAGCGAGGCCCCTGGAGAAGCCAAGGTGAGCTGTGATTACCTGGAATCCCAGGGAACCGAGGGGAAGGTGGGGAACGAGCAGAGAGCAAACCCCCTCAGCTGCTTCTCCCTGCAGCCCACACGGCAAGTGCAGTTGCCCTGGGATTTCATGCCCCCTGTGTCTCTTGCGAGCTCAACAAGTGAATAAGCAGGTACTGCAAGATACGCTTCCTCTATACCTGAGGCAGCACAGACCCTCCCCGAGGAGCTGCAATGCCAGGGCACATCTCAATATGCCCCTCCCGCCTGCCGCTCTCTCCGCCCCTTCTCCTTGCGGCACGCAGGTGCGGTTGCCCAGAGGCAAGAAACTTGCCTGTCAGTTCCCCTCCCCCGCTTACCCCGGGGACGATCTCCTGGAGAACCTGACGTTGGATCTGCCGCCGTGGGTCGCTTCCGGGGGGGAACGCGGCGGCGCAGCCCCGACAGCACCTCCAGCGCACGGCGGGACCGAGCGGGGCGGGAGCGGAGCAAAGCGGGACGGGGTGGCCGGGCAGGGCGGCGAAGCCGCCTGAGCGCCGGTCCGCTTTCTGCCTGGGGTCCTCGCTTGTCAGCCGCGCGCCGCGTCCCCAAGCGGGGCTGCCCGCTCCGGTGCCTGCCGCCGCCCACGAACCTGCCGAGCGCCCCGCCCCGTCCCCACAGCGGGAAGCGGCGCGGCGAGACGGCGCTGCGGGCGCGGGGCGGGGGTCCGGGTCGCGGCGTAGGTCAGGCAACAGGATAGACGCCTCTCTGAGGCAGGGGACCTCGCGCCACCATATTTAGTGTTGTCCTGGCTCATTTCCGGTCCTGGTAGCACCATCTTTACTTCAGGCTTGGCGGACTCCGGGTCAGGGCCGCCATCTTTCTGTACGGCATTGGAGGACTTCTGGTCCGAGGGCCGCCATCTTTCTGTGCGGCCTCGCAGGACCTCAGGTCCGGGGGGCGCCATCTTTGCTGAGGCGTTGAAAATATTCCAGTCGCTCCCACTCCCGATCCCCAACTTTACCCTTTGAATGTCCCTCACTAATTTCTACGGTTTCACCTCAAAATCTTCATTTTAGTCTCCCCCCCCACCCCGAGAGAGACGGGAGACCACAAGTCCCGTCGTGCCCCGGGAACCGGCCAGGTTCAGCAGGGGGCGCTGCAGTGCCGTGAGAGTCACTGCGCATGCGTCATTCCCCTCTCTTGACTGCCCTTAATTACCACGTGATCGCGGGCGTCTCACAAATGACTGCGCATGCACCGACGCCGCCAGCTTGGGGGACCCCCACCACGTGACCTTCTGGCTTCGCTTTCTTACTGCGGACGCCTCACCTGCTTTTCTGGGGTCCCACCCATTCTGGGGCCCTTCCCTGACATTTCGCGGCTCCCCCTCCACTTTTTCGGGTCCCCGGGGTTCCCCCACCCACGTTTCGGGGTCCCCTTCTCACATTTTAGGGGTGACCCGCAATTTACAGTTCGGAGGGCAGGGGGGTGGAAGTAAACGGGGTGCCCAAGAAGGGTTTTTTTCTCTTTTATTTCACTTTTTATTTTATTTCCTTTTTAGTTTCCTTGCTTTTAATTTTTTTATTTTCTTTTGTATTTCATATTTCCTTTTTTATTTTGTTTATTTTTTATTCTCTTTATTTTTCATTTTCTTTTATTTCTTGTTTGGTTTTTATTTTTTTATTTCTTATTCTTCCAGAGAGGGAAACACTGCAGCTCCTCTGGCCCAGAGAAAGGCTCCCCTGCTCTTCCCTTAAACACAACGCCTGGAATTAGTGCCCTGGAAGCCTGGTCCACTCATTCCAGGGACTGACGCTCACTCAGAAGGGCTTTGCCAGCATCAAATGGAAATTACATCATGGGCAAACGCACTTCCGGCAGGACTGCCGGGACACTCCTGGCCAAGGCGACGGAAGTCAGACCAGTGACCACCCAGGGGGATTTTCTGGGGGATACTTCCAGGTTTTATTCTCCAGAAACTCCAGTTCTTTCTGGCACCGCTTGCTTCAGTCTTCCCTTGTTGGAAGAGGTCACTTAAGTCTTTCTAGGGGCCAGATTGTCAAAGCCCGGCCAATCCATTCCCTCCACACCCCCCTCGCACTCAGGGGCCGAGGGGCAGCGGCCTGCCCTGCCCCTGAAGGCCCCGGGGCTGGCCTTCAGGCCATCTGTCCCAAGGCTGGAGTGATCCTGCCATCATCCCGTGGCCACGAGCGGCACAGAAAGCCCAGGGCCAACAGCAATTCCAGGCAGCTGCAGGTAGATGTTATCCCTTCCCAGCTTTTCGGGAGTGGGGGGGAAGGTGCCTTTCCCCGTCCGGCAGGGGCAGTCGTCCCCGCCGCAGAGCCCGCCCCGATCCTGGGCCTTCTTGGAGACAATCCCCCTGTCACAGCCCACTTCCTGCAGAAAAATTTCCGGGTTTAATGCGTTTTTTGTCGTATTTTAAAATTTTTATTTTATTTTTAAATTTCGTTATTATTCTCTTGAAAACCCGTGGAAGGCGGCCACCTCCCCACCCCCGCCCCCGGCCGGTCCCCGGCCACTGCCCTGCCCGGCGGCCCCGAGCGCTTCAGGCCCGGCCCGGCCAACGCCTCGCTCTCCGCGGGCGCCGCTTCCCAGCCCGCCCCGACCGCCGGGCCCTGCCTCGCAGTCGCCGCCTGGCGGACACGGCCGGGAACGGCACTGCAGCCGCGCCCCCCCCCCTGCCCCCGCCCCCAAAGACCTCAGGGACTCCCGGAGCACAGATTGGTAAAAATAAACGTCCTGCAAGACCGACGTTGCTTTTCGGAAGTCTTTCCTTCATTTTTAAGAACGATAAAGGACCCAATCAACAATAAACGTTATTTCATCCCTTTGCCAATAATAACCTTGCAGCTTGCCTTCCTTTCTGCGCTGACAGCAGACAGCTTGGATGCCCTGATGGAAACATTAGACAGCTCTCTCCAACGTTTCTTAAAACCTCCTTAATCTTTCCCGTGGTAAAACCCACCCTTTTCATTTGATCGAGAAAAACCAAACCAAATCAAACCAAAGAAACCCCACCATCTGACACGGGTCAGAAGTTACAGAAGAGACTCCAAGCCATGGGAGGAAAGCTAACGAACAGGTGAAGTTTCAAGGAAATCCCACGTCTTCCAACATCCTGCTCATGTTGCCTACGCTGCCCCCTGGATATGACCCACTCCCAGGCATCTGCCCAGCAGCAGACACCACCGCTGCCCTCTCAAA